AGAGTGTCCTTTCTCCACTGACTCAACAGCTATAGTCAGCAGCAGGCTCCATGTGGAACACAGGCAGGCCAGACTCAGGATGTCCTCTGGCTTGTAGTTTAGCTCCCCTGACTCCTCCAGCTCCATCTCCTTGCTCCCCTGCTCCTCTCCTGACCACCCTTTCTCCAACCCTTGTCTTCACCCATGGCCCTCTCTGCTCAGTAACCCCTGTTCTTGCTGTTCCCTGTCATCTGAGGGAGTATCTGCCTGGGTGGCTGGATCTCGATGTAGAACAAAGCACTTCGATGGGGCAGAGCTATTGCATTGGGTCACCAGAGAGTCCTCTCGGCAGATGGCCCAAGGGCTATCCTTGGTTCCCTCTCCTCTGCTGGGGACAACAGGTCACAGTGTAGAATGTGGTGCCTGTGAGTGACATCCCACCAGGAGCAGGTGCTGGGGGTAGCAGGGCTTTGGAGGGTCTGGGCCATCTTCTTCAGGGGTAGACGGTTGTCCTGCAGTGGTGGACGGGGCTGCCTCTAAAGGGGAGTCACACACAGAGCTACTTTGGGGAAGAAGAGGTCTTGTCTAGCCTAGACTGTCATGTTTTCCTGCTACTCTGGCTTTCTCTCCCTGGACAAAGAGTGTCAGTGTTTCTAGAAGCCCTCTGTAGTTGTAGAAGTCCTGCGATCAGTTTTGGTGGGTGGACTGTGACTGGAGGCATCGTGTGTTAAGACTTGCCATGGATTTTCCATGCTCTCTTCCTGCCCTAGTAGAGCTCTGTGTTTGGATTAATTTGCTTGCTATGGGCAGCTGCCCTGGGGGGAGGGGCAGGAAGGAGACCATGGTGAAGGCTCTGATGGCTTCCTGTCCCAACTGTCCTGGGGATTCCCAACACAGGTCCCAGCTGGTACTGGTTGGGAGCTAGTACATGGACTAACACCAAGACTGGCATGGAAGACCAAGCCAGACGTGGCCTTGGGCCTCTGGTGGGCGATGTGACACTGTGAAATGTGCATTTGGTCTTGTCTGTTTCCTGGCATCCAGCTTCAAAAAGGTTTTGGAATCTTGGATGCTTTTGAGGCTAATGAGCTGACTGATGGCTGGAGGCAGCTGGCCAACTTCGAGAGAACACAAGGGATGGTGAGAGGCTCAGGGTTTCTAGCCCCACCCCCAGGGAATAGAGGGATGCAGAGTGTGTCGTCACCAGTGCTCATGATGTAGGATCAGCCATAAAACCCAGAACTACTGTGTGTGGAAGCCAGCCGGCAGAGCCCATGGACGTGTCTGGAAGTCGGCGCTCAATGCCTCCTCAGCTAGCTCCTTGCTAAGGTCCCTTATAGTGAAACACTACCACAAATGAGTCCCTGATCCCTGTTGGCTGTGCTAGTGAGTCAAACCTGAGCTGGCGTCTCAGGGAGGCCAGATTTACAGCCAGCTGGCCAGGCAAAAGCACAGGGAACTCACCTGGAATTGCTATTGTTATGGGACGAAGCCCTCTGCCCAGGGAATGTGGACAGCATCTGAAGTGAATTGGATTATGGACACCCCACAAATGTCTCCTGCAGGACCTGGGAGGCTGATTGAGTTTTGCTACTGGGGAGAAAGTCCTGTATACTTCCTGATGAGCAGAGGTCACAGGGTCACAGTCTGCTAACTGTTAGGGGACAGGTCCTATCAGTATGCTCATGCTTTTGAAATGGGATCTCACATAGTTCAGGCTAGCCTTGAAAACCTGATCTTCCTGCCTCCACCTCCCAAGCACAGGTGTGGACCACCACACCACAGAGAGGGCCTTGGGATGCAAGGAACCAGAGTTCAAATGGCAGATATCAGCAGGACAGCCATGTGTGTGGGGGCGGGTGCTCAGCAGGTACACAAATGGATCTTATCTAAGGACTCTGTGAATATTCACTGCTAGATAGGAAACCCTGTCTCCAGTGAGGACAGCAGCCACTTTGAACCCTCTGGAGCTTCCCAGACACTAGCTGCACATGGCTACTTTATTTTACATGAATTAAAACTTAAAACTCAGTCATTCTGGGCATATATTGAACATTGGTGGCTGGCAGGACAGATAGTGCACATGGCTCTAGAACATTCCCATCATTGCATAGGGCATTGGGGACCACACTGGTCTAGGAGTACCCATACCTCCTGACACTGGGGTAGTTATAGGATATGGATGTGCAGGTGCTAGCCTGGCCACAAAACTCTAGGACAGTTGCAGTGGGTGGAGGGCTGGTGATACATGTGTGTGTCCCTGGAGCTCAGAGCAGAACGGAGGGATGGTGTCAATGAACTAATGAGACTACAGGGAGATGGTTCAGTCAAGCGCTTGCTGTGCAGGCACAAGGATCTAAGTTCCATCCCAGCACCCACATAAAAAAGGCCAGGCATAGCATTGTGTGTGTAATTCTAGCACCAGGGAGGCAGAGACAGGAGGCTACCTGGAGCTCGATAACCAGCCAGCCTAGCATAATCAGTGGGCTTCGGGTCCCAGTGAGAGACCCTGTCTCAGGAACTAAGGGGAATTCATGAGTGCTACTATAATCTGGTCAAAAGCCCAAGGCTAGGGAACTCACGGGCTGTGGGTGGGGATGGGATGAACCTACTGTCGTTTTACTAAATGGATGCTGTGTCAAACTGCCTTCTAAATCTTTATTAGATTAGTGCTGTGGTCCTCCTTGGTCACAGAAGCTTCTTTGTAGTGGGTGTCCATCAATGCAGAGATTCATAAGTAGTTAAAGTACTGCAAATAAGTGACTACTGAATGCTCACTCAGTCCTACGTGGGACAGTTATAGCACCTCCTCCAAGGCTTGGGAACACTTTGGAAGAGGGACCAGAAAGTCTAAGGGCCAGAGAATGGGCAGGAGTCAGGGATGCTGTATTCTGGACATGACATGGCTGTCGTACCCATGAGCTCACAGCAGCAGCACTGGCAACAAGACCTGCAGAAGATGGGACCCATCCATGTTCTATCATGATGGGGGAGGGACTCATAAGGCCCCACCCCTTCTAAGGAGATCTAGGTAGTTAATGTTGCTGGCAGGGATTACTTTCCTCAGTGGTGTGGCCACCGGTGAGTTACTCAAGTAAATAACCCCATACCCATGACTCATGAAAGCAACACTAATTAAATGCAATGGAGCGCGCGCACACACACACAAACACACACACACACACACACACACACGCACACACGTAGGACCAGAGGGATGGCTCAGCATTATAAAGGTGCGACGCTCCCAAGGACTGCAGCCCCTCCAATGAGGGGTCGCGCCTGCACGCTCCCCTAGGAGGAAGCACGACACGCAGGGACAGACTCGAGTGTCCAGGAACTGGGCAGGATTCCTGCAGGACCGCAACACTAATTAAATGCAATGGAGCGCGCGCACACACACACAAACACACACACACACACACACACACGCACACACGTAGGACCAGAGGGATGGCTCAGCATTATAAAGGTGCTTGCCACCAAACTTAATGACCAGAGTTCTATCCCAGGGACCCATAAGAAGGTGAGAACCAAATACCATGGGTTGTCCTTTGAACACATGCACTGTGGCATGTGCCTCCAACACACACAAAATAAATGTAGTTTTTAAATTTATAGATAAAAGACATGAAAGCAGGAAGTGGACTTGTGGAGAGAAAGGCGAGATTCAGCTGGCGGTGAGGAAGAGAGGGTACTGGGGGGAATATGATCAAAGTATATTACATATATATTATATATATAAAACAGAGAAAGAATAAATCAAATGTAAACATAAGGTGGAGGGTGACTAAGGAGGACATCCAGTGTTGACCTCTGGTCTTTAACAGTCACAGGCACACATGTGCACAAACACACACATACACACACAGAGAGACTACAGAACACACAGGAGGTGCAAGGAAGGTACTTAAGGAACTCAGGTGGGCTGGGGACTTTGAATCAGTGGACTATCTTGTAGGAAAGACCTCTGAGATGACTTGAGACTGAAGAACGGAGCTGGACTGGGAGGGAGACGGTGTGGAGGCCGAGGGCGTGCTGTGTAGTGCGGGAAAGGCCGAGTCACACGGTGACGTCCAGCTGCCCAGCAGGGTGGCAATGACAAAAGACACTATGGGGCTGGGGTCATGAAGCAAGGCCACCTGCACCTTGGCACAACAGGATTTCTGTTTGGCTGTGGGGTGGTGACAGGGGCAGATGGGATACACGTGAGCAGTGAGACTGGCCTGGACCACAGTGCCTAGGGCAGAAAGTGGCCTGGGCCCACGTCCCTAGTCACAGTGCTACCTTCTGTCTTGGGTGTGGGGTCTTGATCCCTCCTGTGATGGCAGTAGTGCTATGGAGAGACACCGATGATACTGGGAAGGTGGAACTGCCAAGAGTCACCAAAGGATAGACAAAACACAGGCTCCTCCCTTGGGTCGGGTACACAATGGTGGTGCTTACAAAGCAGGCATGGACTGTGTGCTGGGTCGGCTTCAGGAGAAAACCCCAAATCCATAAGAATCGTTAGTCATAGAGATTGTGACCTTTGACTCAGGATGCCCTCAGTCCTCCCCTGATGGTCTTCTCCTTTCTTCTGGCCCATTCCCCAGCCCTGGGCTCAGCATTACCCCATGCTCAGCATGACCAGTCCTCAAAGCTTCCAGAACTTACCAGACTGCAGTCTCAGCACCCTGCCCTGCTGTCCCATCTGCCTGGAACGCACTTCCCGAGGATGCCCTGGGAGACCTCCCATCTTTGAAGACTAAGTCTGGGCAGCACCATCTTTAGAATATATCCCCTGACCTCTGGGCATCTGAGCCCCTTTGGGCTTTCTCCATGGAGCAGCCATTCCTCCTCTCATCCAGGGATCACCCATCTTTGCTGTTGGCACTATCCTGCCCCCGTAAGGTGGACCAAGCCAAGACCTCATGGCCACCTCATGGCATACAGCCTGCCAGACTCAAGCACTGTCTGCAGACCCACCCGTGCCTTCAGAGACCACTCAAACTCAGAACAAATTGCTTTGTCCTTACAAGTTACAGTGCATCACGGTTTATTTTCCCAGGCATCCTAGGGATCAGACAGGACACCGCGTGAGTGAGGAGGTGGGGGTTTCCAGCTGTGCAGGCCTAGACTGTTAAGTGGCAGGAAGCAGATTAAAGTGCCAAAAGTTCTCCTCCATGACCCAGCCAGGCGGGCAAGTACCCCAGTGCCAAAAGGGACTCAGCATGTTCCAGAGCCTGAGGAAGTGAGGAGCTACTGGAAGTGGGAGGCGGGCAGCTGGAGAGCACCTGGGACAGCAGTGTCCATGCATCCCGTGACAGGTGCATTCCTCGCCGTCACCTCACTACACACACATGCACTTGTCACCTGGACTTCCCACTCCGGGACACCCAGATTGGAAGAAGTACAGCCCACCTCTCCCCAAGTGATCGGTGCCTGTGTCGGGTAGGATCATGCATAAGAGCATCGTTCCCGGGTGCATGTGGTTTGCGTGGCTGAGCCCACGGTGAGTGGGACTGTACTATGGTGGGAAATTTTTATTCTCGGCCTTGGCCATCAGAGGGACCTCTTCTGAGACTTGAGAAACGGCAGTGAGGAAAACAGGTAAAGACATTTCACATGTATTTACAAACAGCACTACTGGGCGGTCTGTACTCAGGGCTGTCTGTGTGACACGAAGGAGCAAGGACAAAGGGAAACGGATGGGGCTGTCTCTGGACACCGAGGGCTGGAGGCACAGAGGCTGCATGGTGGAGTGTAAGACAAAGGTGCTCCCCTTCCGAGGACTGTGAAACTAAACTCTGCATATATGTCTTCTTCTGTGTAAGGAAGCTATAATTTTTAATAAAATAAAAACTTCTGTGTAACTTGAAAGATATCATTTAGGCATCTAAGGGGTGATTTGGAAGAAGGGTGCAGTATACAGAGCACTGGCGGGGGACACCCTGTCAGGTTGACATTCATCCCCCCAGACCGATCGGTCACGATGACTGTATGAATCACAGTCCCGTGTTGGCACTGCCTTCCAGACTCGGGCCTGGCTCCCCTGCCCCAGCCTGCCAGCCCGCCTACCGTACTGCCACACTTTAAGGAGCCATTGGCTCTCCACTCCTGCCCTGTCAGGGTTCTGCCTCTGACAAGTCCCTCACTCACTCCCAGTCACCTCTGGGCCCAAGCCCCTGGCACAGAGGTGGGTAGGTGCACCAGAGAGGCTGGGAAGGTGCTGGGCCACCTGAAGGCTCTGACCCATCTTCTATGATGGCTGGCTACAGCATCACCCTGATGCCAAGACGCAGCGGGAAGGGGTGGGTCAAGCTGGCACCTGGCCCTAAACTACAGGCAGGAGCATCACTGGTACACAAATAACCATGCCTGCTGGAAGCCTCCTCCAACCCTGGCCCTGTCCCGCCTCCTGCAGGTGTCCCCGCCTGCCCCACTGACACAGAGAAGCAGAGCAAGGTGCAGGAGAGGGTTTTGGGGGACCAGTCTGGTCCTTCGGCTCTACCCCCAACAGGCTCCTGGTGAGGCGCTAGCAGCCATCAGAACAGCAGGGCTTTCTTCTTGAGGTCATTCCTCTTCCACAGAGCCAGACGGTCGAACTCTTCAATGCTCATCCCAAACACTTCCTGGAACTCCTCAGGTGACAGGTGTCTCTTCAGACAAAGAAAAATGGGGCGGGGGACAGTGAGTATCTTTGAAACAGGGACTGAGAAACTGCCTTTGCTGAAAAGCACTGGCTCCTCACCTGGGCCCTCAAGGTAAGTGTCAGTGGGATGAAAGCCTGTCTCCTGTACTTTGGATCCGATTCCTGCTTAACTCTAGAGACATGTGAATCACTCAAGGGTACCAGACCCATCTCACCCTCTTTGAGGGTATCAGTGTAAAGACTGTTTCAGTCTGTGTTTACAAGGTCCCTGAAAGGAACCCTGAAAGTCTCCAGTCCTTGTTCTAAGCCAGCAGTGGGCTCAGGTTCCAAGAACAGCAGGACCTCTCAGACACACCCCATGATGAAATCATACCCCTCAAAGTCACCTCACAGGAAATTTCCTGACCCTCAAGTGATAAGGACTTCTGACCACCTTGCAGACCCAGAACTGAGATAGTGATTGATCAGACACAGCTGACCAGAGCTGCTCAGCACTGCACAGCACCCTACCCCAATTCTGCCTCTACTTAAACCGAAGGCTTGCAGCAGTGCCCTGGAGATGGACTGAAATGCCTACTTTCCTGTGCATCTTGTCCCTTTCCACCACTTGTCTCTTTAGTAGGCACAGGACAAGTGGCCAACCTGGTCTACTGAGACTTCAGGAACTAAGGCTTTTGCTTTAGAACTTAGTGTCACCACAATGCACTGACTGGGCTAGTTCTCTGTGACCATGAGGATAGGTGGCCCTCTTGGCATGCCCAGGCCCTCTTGAAGCCAGCAGGTCCAGGTCATAGCATAAACCCTCCCTGGCCTTTACCTCTGGCATGTGATCCCAGCCACTCTGAGTCACTGAGCCCAGTTTCTGGGCTAGGGTGTCATGAAGAGGCTACAACTGGGTGATTAAGGGCCTGGATGTCAGGATCTCTGTGGAGCTGTGTGACAGAGTAGCCTCTGGGAGGCCAGGTTTGAACATCTGTACCCTGGCCCCTCTCTTGAAATCATGGCATAAAAGGAACAGTGCCAGTCAGCATTTAGCACTGGACCCATCTGTAAACATATCCATGTTCATGGTGGCCTGGGACAGTCAGAGCAAGCCCAATGCAGCACCTCATCAGCAATCACACTGCAGTCTCTCCCTTGAGCATACCTACCATGTTACTCGTGAATCTGCCTCACACAACTGGCTCTGAGAAATAATATTTTAGCCAGCTGTAGTGGTACATACCTGCAATCCTAGTACTTGGGAGGTAGAGGCAGGAGGATCAAAGTTATTTTTGAGTTCAAGGTCAGTCTGGGCTACATGAGACCCTGTTTCACCCTACACACACCATACACACCCCACAAATAGAAAAAAAAAAAGAAACCACTTCTTAGTCCTCCAGGCACCCTTTCTGAGGCTGGGTTTCTATGTGTGCAGCCTCTCCCTCTGCTCACCTGGGAGGCCTGAAGGAGGTTGGAGATGGGGTAGGGAAACAGGAGGGCAGGCCCCCCCCAGGACTATGTACTGCCAACTTCCCAAGCCAGGCCTCTGGGCTGCTGTGTGGGGAAGGGGCAGGTGGTTTCTCAACAAATGAACAGAGAGCAGTGATAGCTGTCAGGCCTTAAGCAGACACCCAGAACTGAGACCAGGATTCCCACAGGGAGCCAAGCACCCAGGTCACATTCACTGCATTCTTCCCAAGGGCCAAAGGCAGGTGGCAGGCAGTCAGGGGGGGGTGGTAAAATAAGTGCTACATTATTCAATCCCACACAGCACAAAGCTCTGACACATAGACAAGCTAAATAAGCCATGGAAACATCAGGGCAAGTGAGAAAGGAACCAGACACACCATGCACTTTGTGACTCCGCCAAACGCAATGTCCGGGGCAGGCCAGCGCAGGGGCAGAAATGGATCCGTGTTGCCAGGGGAGGGGCATGACAGCCGAGCCGGTGTGACTGATGAATGGGTGTGGGGTTTCCTTTCAGGGTGATGAAAATGTTCTGGAACTAGACAGTGATGGTGGTTGTGAAATACTGCAAATGTGAAAATGTGAGTCATACACACACATGGTAAAAATGGTAATGTAACACAGAACTCTCGGCAAAAGAGAGAGAGAGTTTCCACAACTTTAAAACAGACACTAATACTGAAAGAGAGAAAAATGGATGAGAGTTGGGTGTGGTGACACATCTGCAGTCTCAGCACTTGGGAGGCCGAGGCAGGGAGACGAGGAATTTGAGGCAGGCCTAGGCCACATAACAAGTTCAAGGCTAGTCTGGGCTACATGAGACGGTCTCAAAAAAACAAGGAGAGGGAGAGAGAGTGAGCGAGAATGTGCGCACGAGAGAGAGAGAGAGAGAGAGAGAGAGAGAGAGAGAGAGACGGAGAAAAGGAGAACGTGGTAATCTCTGAAAAGTATAAACATTGACATTCACTGAATCTTTGTCATGTATACTGAGTTTTAGAGCCCATTAGCGGGGAATCTGGAGAGAGAATCTGAAGCCAGCCCATGTAAGCAGCTGTGCATCCAGCATCCAGCAAGCCTTCCCCAGTTGGAGGCCATTGGCCTGTGGACTCTCTTGAATTTGCAAATAGGAAGCATCTTGGGACAGAAATGAACTCCCTGTATGGGTGAGTTGAGATCAGATATGCTCAGAAGTCCACCCCTTACCCACAAAGATTCAGAAAGCAGAGACGACACTGTGATGGCTCACACAGCAGCACACCCTTCAGGTCAAGTCACCATAGAATGTTCTCAATGAGGTCAAAGGGACAATAAGAAGAAAACCCAACTCCCAGCATCATGCAGCCAATACCGACCAAGTGTCTATGAGACACAGACCTGCTCTAGACACCAGACAGCCAGGACGGGGTGCCTGGCTAGGCAGGATGAAAGCTTTACTTTAACAAGACAACAACCAGACAGGGAAGCAGGGAGGAGGTGGCATGAGTCATGCACCCCTAGCTTTGTCTGGCCAGTTGTTTTTTGCGATTAGGCCTCACCATGCGGTTCAGGCAAGCACTGAACTCACTATGTTGCCCAGGCTGGCACTGAACTTACCATGTAGCCCAGCCTGGGTTGGAACTCTCAGAGAGAATTCATGTTATTTTGTGTGATGCTCCTTGCTTAGTCCAGGAGAGCAGGTGGCATGCAAGGCCAAGGAAGGGACACACAGGTAATAGCAGGTAGCAGGAAGCTTGCATTGATGAGGGGCTGGGAGGATCGCTTGCAGGGCACTGCCCAGAGCCCCTGCCCATGACCATGTAGCTAAAGAGAAGTCCAGATGAGAAATAGGGACCTCTGGGTTTTACCAGGGTTGTGTCTTTACTGGTGACTATATTAGAGGAGGGGGACGAGGGAAGGACAGAGCCACCCACGGGCTCTAAGCTGGGGAAGGAGAAAACGGCAGGCAGGGGAGGTGACGCTGTGTGCGCCACACCTCAAGAGCCTCTGAGGATTAAGACAAGACTTAGAGCTGGTGGGTGAGCAGAAGGGAAAAGGATGGAGGCGTGGGGATATGTGGGAGATGGTACCACTGGGGTGTCCATGGATGGGGGACAAGGTGGTGAGAGAGCATCTGTGTTCATTCCAAAGCTGCCATGCATGATGGTAGCCGACTCGCCAGCAGGCGTTCTCTAGGGGAGGGACAGTGTGACCCAGATGCTGGAGTTGTCGGAGACAACTCTGTCAGTAACAGGAACAGCTGGGGCATCACAAGCATGCAGGCTGGGTACAGGCTCAGGACTCAGAATAAAGGCTCATATCCCAGCCCTGAGCTCTGAGCCCAGTCTCTAAGTGGCAGCCAGGATAGAACACCCATAACTGCACTATCCCCACACATATCCACTCCCATCCACCAGACAAACCCTCACGGTTATTACACTAGAACCATGCAGGCACTAGAGACAGTCAAGGCCAGATCCAAACCAGTTTCTGGCCTCTTAGAGCTGATGTCCTACTAGGGATATCAATGAAAAAATATATAATATGTAAATATATTATCTGATAAACAACGTGTGATACATGACAGGCCAATGGAGAGAGACACAAAGAGGAAGTAAGGTGGGGCCCTCCCTGAGCAGGTGGCCTCTGAAGGAAGGGGGATCTTCTGAGTCTCAGACCCTAAGACTGATAGAGCACATGTGGGGCACCCTGGCCCTCAGGCCCCTTCCCTAGGCACAGGGACACAGCACCTACAGAAGGTGGGCAACCAGGCACCCCACAGTCCCTCTCTCCCAGTAAAATCCGGCCCACCTCTCTGCAGTCAGCTGACCTGAGTCAGTGTCAGTCTGCCAGCTGCTTCCTTTGTCTCTGGGAAGGAGCCCGCTGAGGAGCAACTGGAGCAGTGGGCTGCGTCACCCGGGCTGCATGGCCCTCACGTATCATGTACCCCATGCAGCCCCTGCATCTGCTGTACCCTTGGTGGCCAAGAAGCTCTAAGAATCAAGTCCAAAGAGCAGCACAGAACCCGGGGTCTCTGCCATGGAATTCCCCGCTGTGGGAACATCTGAAGTGTGGTGGGTCAGTGGGAAGGGAAGACATGGCCACAGCTGACAAACGGCCTGAGTACACCAGGCTGGTGAGTCGGCTGACCTCCTAAGGGAGATAGCTCAGGCCTTCAAAGATACACAAGTCTGGTTCTCTCCAGTGGCTCTTCATGGGCTGTAGGGTTTTCTTCAGATCGGCCGACTGCCCTGCCGAGTCCCCGCCCAGTCCTGTATATCTCACAAGCAGCCTACCTGACTTGCTGGGGGTGGGGGGTGGGGGGGTAGAGGCAGGAGAGAATAGAGGAGGGAATGGGGTCTCAGTTGAGCTGTCAGCTCTGGGATCTGACCCAACAACTTGGCGCCTTTCAGAACTGAGAATTACCGGGCCCGTTTGAGAAACCTAAGGAGACAGGCTCAGGGTGTAGTACTTGGGGACCTGCCTTTGTCATCCACTTTCCCCCTGGAACAGCTGCTGGACCCCAGGTGTGGGAACTTTCAAACTCAGGGAAAGACTTGAGACCAGCAGCCCCAGCCCCAG